AATCAAGACATGAGCAAGACGGTTACAAATAGTGTATATATCTTGTACTACGTTCGAGTTGGCTTTTGCATCATGCTGAGTGAGATTTTAAGCCTTGCTTTAGATAGGAAGCCTGGTCTGGTTCTAGTTCCTCGGGCACTCCCTTGCGTAATATTGGGCGCGACCACATATGCAGTAGGTGTTGTTGAGGTGATAGTAGGATCGATCCCCATGATCCTTGCCACAATGCTGATAGATCTTGCCGCGTTCTACTACTGGAACCTGAGGGGGAGCCTGAGTCATCGGCCTGGGTCTCTTGTTATATTGAACAGGTGTAGTAGGTGTTGGTATGCGGCGTGGGGTTGAGGACCTGAGGTTCCTTGCTGCTTGAGGGAAAGTGCGAAGGCTCCTCTCCGCTAACTGTGCCTTGGCTAGAACAGGCAAATAAGTACTGAGTTCGAGCACAAACAATTACAGTCTGATCTCAGGACGGAGACCCTACTCAAACCTTCTAGCCTTCTTGCCTTCATCTATTATGCTCTCAGGAGAATATCGACCCAACTCTAGGAACTTGCGAGCATATTCTGATACAGTCATGTCCCCCTGGACCAAGTGTGCAAACTCTATCTCCTTCAGATGTCGGAGATGCTCTAGGAGGTACTCTACATGAAAAGTCATTAGGAACTGTTCCCAAGTGACTGGAAAGGGCAGGGTGGTCTGTTTGAGTTGCCACCAACGGTCTGCTTCTCCCACTAGCATGTAGGTAGTAAAGATGACCTTCTGCTCAAGGATCACCCTGAGGGGTCTTAAAGGCCTTCTCTATCTCAGCTAACTAGAACTCAACCTCTTCAAAGGAGGACCCCCTACAAAAGTAAAAGGATTTAGTTTTTTCTACCTTTTTATGTAGCTTGGGTCCATCATGAGAGGAGATGGGTCCTGTGGATGAGGGACTGGATTGGGCTGAACATGGATTGGATGGCCCTGTAGTAGTACTTAATGATACGGTGAAGGCACCGGATTGTATTGTGGTGGTGCCGGGTGATGCGGTGGCTGGGGTACTAGATCATATTGTGGTGGTGTTGGGTGGTACTGTGGAGGATCAGGCTCATATCGGCGTAACTCATGATCCTTCCGCTGC